TCGACAAAAACATAATTTTGCGCAATTTTAAATTGCGCAAAATTATGTTTTTGTCGAAGTGACACACAACGCGAGTTATGCTCGATTTTTTGCCGATTTTTGACACACCACGCCAAAAAGGTTGCCCATCACTGATTTAGGCTGATGTACAGACTAACCTACAGGGGGGTCAAATATTATTTACTTGTGGACGAGATTTGAGAATAGTAAAATCCTGAGCTTTCAGTCATTTCAGGGGGAAGAATGTTAAATGCACACGTATACTGTTTGTGCCAATTTATATAATTTGCATAATTACATAACTGTCATAAATGGAAGCATTTGGGCAGTAAAATCTTTATATAGTGGACAAATCTTAACGCAATATACATTGGTCCGTTAAATGGGATGCAGTTCAAACAAAAAGCATGCATTGTACTCCTCCTCTAACCAAATTATGACAACACTAGAAAAAATCCTGCAGCTCAGAATTTCAAATCCTAGTGTTACAATTTGAGTCTGCAAGCATAGGACTACAAAACTTGAAAACTTCCAGAATACTGCAACCACATATCTAGCAGTGATGGGATTCAAAGTTTTTTTATTACAGGTTCTATGGACATGGCTTGGTGGGCGTGGCAGAGGAAGCATACTGTAAAATCTCCATTCCCACCTCACTCCAGGGGAACGATACTACCATTTCCTCCTGATCAGCTGGGATTCGGGAGGCAGAGAATAGATGGGGGCGGGGCCAGTCAGAGGTGGTATTTACCAAACTACTCAAAATTTCCGCTACCTGTTCTCCAGAACTGGTCAGAACCTGCTGAATCTCACCTCTAGTATCTAGGCTAATTGCCTGACACAATCACAGGTAAGTTTCTATCCCATGGGGCTCAATAGTATAACTGCGATCATATACCAGGGAACCATATGTTTTTTTGCTACTTATACAATATGTCATTGGTTTCCCACAAGATGAAATAAGAAAATGATTTTTTAGATTGTTGATGGTTTCAGTATTCTTCAACCTTCAACTCTTCTCCTAGATGTACTGAATACATCTAAATCAAATGGTTTTATTTTAGAAAAACCAGCTGTAAAAACATTGTAATTAGTTCAGTAGAGGCAACCAAACACAACTTCAGTTCTCTGATTTATTTTAAAGTGCTTTAATTTGGTAAATTAATTGAAGCAATGATCTACCTTAGTATTTGAACCTGAAATGTAAACAGAAGCAGAAAGGTGTGTGGCCTATTCTTCTATTTATCTCAGCACATTAAATGATATTCCATATGAAATCCATCCACAAATCTTCAGATTCCTCCCTGGATAATGAAACACAGAAAAAAATATTATTATGCATCAATCATTTAATGGAAACATATGCTTCTTATCTACAATACATAATTAGTTCAGTTCCAGCTAAAAGTTCTCCCTCTTTAAAATTGTTAATTTTGGGCCCAACATTTCTGGCTATCATTTATTAATAGTTTGTTAAACATTATGGTGACAATATCTGTTAGTGATAATTTTTCATTAGTCAGTTAAAATAATGTTACAAATTGTATACAAGATGCTATTCTATCAGTATTATAACCCGAATACTGCCACATTACAGTCCTTTCCAGCAGCAATTTAGATAAGGTATAAAACTAAAAAGTACTTTATTTTTGGGTCAATAGTGTTGGAGGAGGGGGAGGCGGAGGAGGAAGAGGAAAAAAATAGGGAGCAACGATAATAATTCAATAAGCAAACAAAGTAAGTTAACAAGTTACCGTATTTTCACGACTATAAGCCACACTGAAAATCCTAAAATTTGATAAAAAACCGGCAGTGCAGCTTATAACCCGGTGCGCTTTATATATGGAAAAAGATCGAAAATCTCTCCCTCCCGATTTGACACTCAAACTTGAAGCACGAGGACGGCTGGGCTGAGCGCCCGTTTCCGAGCCCCCCCCGCTTGGTAGGAAGTCCAGATCGAAAGCCAAGCCTGCAGCTGGCTGGCTGGCTGGCTGGCTNCAATGACATAGAAAACTAAAGCTCTGGTGCATTTCCCCCCCCCCCCCCAAAAAAAAAACCCTTACCCCAGAGCTTGCAATTTCACTTGGTGTTGGCCAGTTTGTTGCATCATTGAAATAATCTCCCTGCAGCAATAAAAAACAGCTTAATGTTCATACAATATTTATTCAAAAACAAGCAGAAAAGTATTCATAATTGTCAATGTAATCATACTATAGAAACTAGTTTACAGATAAAATTATTAATAACTGCCTTCACTATTACAGCAGGATGACAAGATGCATAGAGCAAATACAGGTACTCCTCACGTTAACAACCATAATTGGGACTGGCAACTCCATCGCTAAATGGTGAGTCGCTAAATGAAACTTTAAGGTCCATGACATATTTACAACCTCATTCTGCCACAATGGTTAAGCAAATCATCACCCATGGTCCTTAATTGAGACATCACATGACCAAAATTGTGATTTTACTGTTGGCTTCTCATTGACTTTATTTTATGGAAGCCACCTGTGAAGCATGCAAATGACAATCACATGACTGCAGGGCTCTGCAATAGTCATAAACACCCACTGGTTGATAAGGCCCTCCCCAGATTTTGACAATGTGACTCTAGAAATGCTGCAATAATTCTAAGTATAATGTAGCCTTACTGTATAAGATTATATCTCTTTAAAAACATATATCTAAGAAGGAAAAGGGTCAACATGGAATTTAAGATCAGAAATGAAGCAATACTTAAAACCTGAAACAGCGTTTGAAAAGGCATGAATTCACATATTTTCTACATAGATTTTGGGGGTGGGCAGGATTGAATTAATTTTTCTAAATCAGTACTGCCGCAGTAATTTAGAAAACAATGCCACAGTAGATGTGGCAGTCAAGTCCCTTAAAAACATACGCAATTGTGAATCACAAAAAATTATATTAATTACAACATTTTTATTTCTTGATAAGAAAAAAAGCCTATTAGATGAGAATCAAATACCCTGAAACCAAGTGTAGCCATTCTGAATGGTGTCATTTTCTGACTGTTCCGAATATAACTGATAAGGCATTTGTTTTCTATTTTATTTTGTTATCTTTTTTTCAAAATGTTTTTTATATCAAATAATGCAGAATTAGAGACGAGACACACACTTGTTATTATTTTAGACTGGAAGGAATTAAATGATAATGACACATTGTGACTGAACAGCATTAAAGCACATTAGAGAAGAAAAAACAGTTTATCATCTGCTAGACTGCCTAAAAAATTACTGGGTTTATTCCTCCTAGCTGACAAAACAAATTTTCGCAGTTCTGTGGGCATGGCTATGGGGGTGTGTGTGACTGCGTGTGCATGAGTGATGTCAAGTAAGCCACACCCACTGAATCACATGCCCCCACCTAGCCCCGCCCACAGAACCTGTAGTAAAGTAATTTGAAATCCACCCCTGTTATGAGTAGATTTCTCAAAGTAGAAAGGAAAAAGCTTTAAGATGTCCTCCTCTTTCAGCAGTTGAAATACTAATAGGTACAGAACTCTGGAAGCCTTCAGTCAGAAAAGGTCAAACACATTAGCTCTAACAGCACCAAAAAGTTTACTGTCACGAGGAAAATGTAGTTATTAAAAATATTTTCTCATGAGGAATTAACATAGAATATGGAAAGGAAGCACATCTTTTAAGAAAAGAAAAAAAATAAGAACATTTTAAAATTCTAACACAGAAATCAAAATTCATGTCTTTAAATCAACTGCATTTGGTTCACAAGAATATTCTGAATATGAATGTGAAGACGGAGAGCCATATCTGCATTAAAAAGGCAGATAAAGTCAAAAATGCTATCTGTGTGCATACTGTTTGCTGCAAAAGTATTTCTAAAATTGCTGAGATTATAAATTAAATACAAAACCTATTGTATTCTGCAGAATCTTTAAAGTTCACTTAAATATCAAAGTATAAATTCCTTTGGGCAGGTTTAGTGAGATTTGTTGTATGTTTGTACTCTACTAATGCCCCTGTACCTAAGGGTTCAAAAGAAAGAGAAATTTCTTAAAGGGCAGGAGAAAGAGCAATGTAGTTTGACCCAATTTCAAGAAAATTTGAAAAAACATCAACCTTTTAAAAAAGCACTTAATGTAATGAATGACTTCTTCAATTTAACAGTCTATACCATATTTTCTGAATATATCTAACTATGCAAAGATTATTCTAGTAAGTCTTTTTTGTTTAAGCACACTTTTAATCAAATTAACTCCTGGATGTAATACTTTTCTAAAAAATACCAATCAATAAATGATTAAAACAATTCTAACACTCTAATAATTCTAATTCTAATACTCACCAATATTAGCCTTTTTGCTAAGCATAAATCTTGTGTTATACACTTAAGCCATTTTACATTATCTTGTAATTAAAAACAGTGGACAAAGTGTTTACGATAGTTATATACATTTTATAATCAAAGTCAGAATATAAATATACACACAGTAACTGAATTTTTAATAATAGAATATTGAACTTAAATTGTATTGATACATGCCTTACTGGGTTTCTTTATCTTCAACTTTCCTGCTTTTATGACTTTAGTAGAACACTGCAGCTCTAAAATAAAGGGAAAGTAGTTAAATCAGTGAAGCTTGATTTAAACTGATTCAGTTGAATAGTACTATATATTTAGCAGGTACATGTATAGCATCAATTTATCTGTAAATAATTTCTTTGTGAAATAGTTTACCAATGTATTTCAAGATTAATGGTTTCTTAGAAAATCTGAAATACAGTACTTATAAATATTTAACAATAGTTTTATAAATTATTTACCCACGTCAGCATGCATTTTATTAAGCTTTAAACATAAAGCTTCGAGCTTATATGTTTCCCCATCATGTCTCTGTACTAAGTAAACATTTCAACATCCAACATACTTAGCAGGTATCAAGTTGACAAAGATTGTTCTACATACTTAACTAAAAATGCATGCACTAACCAAGATTTGTGTCTACATAAAGACACATAGGTCTGCATCAGGGGTGGGTTTCTCGCCCCGTTCCAACCAGTTCGGTTGGAACGGGGCCAGCGGCGTCCTCGTGCACGCGCGCACGCATGCGTACTAGCGTCTGTGATGCTCCAGATGCTCTTGGAGGATCGCGCAGGCGCTGTATGCGTCCTGCGCATGCGTGGAAGCGCAGAACTCGTCAAAAACGGGTAAGGAATGCGGGCGGGCAGGTCGGCCCTTCGCCGTTCCCGGAAGTTACTTACTTCCGGATTCGCCGACCAACCGGTTCGCGGGGACCGCCGCGAACCGGTTGAAACCCACCCCTGGTCTGCATTGTAAAAAAGGTAATTAAGATCTCATGGTCTTTATGGCATTGAATTATTAAAGCATTTCAAAAGGGAAAAAAACAAATATATTACAAAGTATAGCTATTCAGCAATCTTATTTAATGAAAGCACTAAAATGAGGCTGTTGGGAACAATAGGTATAACTAATGGATAATCTCCAGAGAAATGCATAGATAGAATGTAATTATCATTTGTTTCTTTGTATCATTTATTGTTTAGCAATTGCATTCCATTCAAAAGAGAAAAAGAGAGAGAGGCAGACAGACAGACAGGATCACTGCTCACTATTGTCTCATTCAGATGAAGTTCTTTAACAACTATGCCAGCATTATTCTCACTCTGGCATGTGTTGCTGTCAGGCATACAAAATTTAGTCATAAATAAGTACATTGGTCTTTATTACTGACATATTTGTGAATGGTCACTAACTGAGGTAGTTGCTAAATGAGGAGTGCTCCACAAAGCCATGTTCTAAAGATGAAAGCTTCTGCATGTCATGATATAAAGAAAAAAAAAGGGGGGGGACCCTTAAAAAACGTAGAAGAGCTTGTTCCTCCCACTGCCATTCAGTGCCACAACAACTTCCAGTATCAGGGCTCTCCCAAACAGTTTCAGATGTCTTAGAAGCATTTGAAAGAAGAGGAACTGAGAAAATAAAAAAAACCTCATTTTTTTTCTTAAAATCTGTTTCATAATGTTAATAAATAATATTGAAAATATAATTGCAAGTATAGTTATAAATGTATGTTTTTCAAATTATAATGCAAGGAAACATTCACATTTTTTTGTTACTGATCAAAAAATTTCTGAAGCAAAATAACAATTTTCCTATCCACCGTATTTTCACGACTATAAGCCGCACTGAAAATCCTAAAATTTGATAAAAAACCGGCAGTGCAGCTTATAACCCGGTGCGCTTTATATATGGAAAAAGATCGAAAATCTCTCCCTCCCGATTTTACGCTCAAACTTGAAGCACGCACACTCCCTTGGGTCTCTCCCTCCCGATTTTACTTACGCTCAAACTTGAAGCACGCACACT